CGTTTCTATCGAATTTCCAGTGGAATTTCATGCGTCAGTTTGGCACGCGCCAAAAAAACCTTTTCGGCGTAAAAAATAAGCTGGAACACGTTCCGATGTACGTTCCGACGCATTATTGGCCAGAAAGTGTGTGCCCATTACGTGGATTTCGGCTAGATTATTCCGGCGTTAAATATGTCAGCATTATCGGCGTAAAAATATGTTGAAAATACCTGCGGAATAAACATCGCAACGTACGCCAAAACTGAAGAAACAAATTTTAACCGGTGCATTATCCACCGGAAAAACCGCCGTATCAAAAATGCCGGAACAAATTATTTTATTCGTTGTATCATAATTTTTGGCGAAATACCAATATCGTTACATCCGAAAACCTATAGAAGAAATAAAAAAATTGCTTCCCAGATAGTAATCAGATTTCCACTCCTACAAATAATTACAGATAATTCTAGCAAAAATTGCTCCACAACATAGATCTACACAGCACAAATTTTAAGAACTTCAGCAAATACTTAAAAACATAAACATTACAAATTATTCATTAACATCAACCAATATTCAAAAACATCACAAATTATTCATTAACACCAAATATTCAAAAACTTATACAAGTTCATATAGCATTAAAAAAATTAAACAACTACTATGAATCCATGGACTCATCATTAGCTGGAGCTACCTCTTTTCCACTCAACTGCTCCCTCATTTTGCGTATTTCATCCAACAACTAATTGTGTTGCTCCTGTATTTGCATCTGTACATGTACTTACAACTGAACTTTCCAATCAACTTATGATTTCTTTACTTGTTCTAGCTCCTCTTGAAGGGCAGCTATCTGTTGACTATGTAAGGACTCATCTGAATTGGCTATGAAGCTGGATCCAGTAGAGGTCATCCCCTCATATGCTTGGGCTTACGAACCTAAATCATAAACCCTGCCATGTTGCATTCCTCCTATGGCTTGCGACCAGATGTAGTACTCAGAATACTCTATAGAGCTGTCAGAAGAACCCTCACCTACTGCGGCCTGACTCTCTCGAAGCTGTGTATACTCCTCCTGTGAAAGTAGAATATATATATAATTGAGACTAAAACTAAAAATCATTAAACACATATACTTACATGGGCTTTTCTTGCTCGCTCATCAACCCATTGTTGATCCTCCTGTCACTTATGAGTGCAACTATGTAATTCCACAGGAGTTGATTCTATACCCAGCATCTCTTTCTGTAATAGAATTCTATTAAAGAAAATTTTCAATATACATTTAAAATTCATTACCATACATCGCATGTGCTCAGTATGTGAAACTGAGCCGCCAGTATGAAGGGAACTACCCATCCCCCCAATATAAGAAGCTCTGTTTTGTTGATTTTGATCCCTCCTCCTGCTATACTCTGTGCTGCCCCAAGAATTGTTCAACTCAGCCCATATAGTCTCTCCAAATCCACAATGGCAACTCGCCAGTCTTTTTATTGTCTGTACATATATCGCGCATCCGTGCATGAATCCTCTACGATATAGATCAACAAATACATCATCTAGTCTTAGGTGCACTAGATTTTTATGTTTAGAATATGGACATGAAAACATTCCATCTGATATGAAGCTGGGTAGTTGTTTCGTTGTCTAAATGAAAATATTCATCCCATTAATTAATTCATTTATTAATGTCGTTCATCCTTGCGCCAATCGATTATACATCAAACTTCTTTGATTTTTAATATCCATAACCTACATATACTTGGAGCAAATAATTAATGGATTATAATGATTTTGTGACAATGATTAGATATAGATTATTGGCAGACATAATTAAGTCGAGCAATGTATGTTAGATAATGTAAATAAGGAGATGTCAATAATTGGCAACATGACAAATTGACAACGATCCAATGGAGGTACTCCAAGTCGGCTTGCTAGTTAGCTTAAACTCAACTCAATAACGAGCTCGGGAGTCGAGCTTATTGAGTTTCAAGTTCGAGCTTTTTAATCAAGCTTGTATAATATATGAGTTCAATTTCAAGTTGAGCCTGAATCAACTTGAAGACTCATCGAGCAGCCTGTAGTCATTCCATTGTCCACTCCCAAGCCTCTAATATAGTGCCTCGCCTAGATGCCCTAGCTCTATTTTTCAATTCTTGGGTCTTGAGAGCTTGCGATTTATGATGATTGTGACCTACGATTGAGGAACTATCTTATCACGTATATACTCCAACTTTATCATGTATATGCTTATTTCGAAACTATCCATAATATTTTTGGAATATCTAAAATATTTTTTATCTAATCTTATCTTCCAATGGAGGTACTCCAACCTTATCACGTATATGCTCATTTCGAAACTATCTATAAGGCTAAATCCACTCATCCACCTGATTATCCTCATCTCTGCAGCACTATGAACAATACATCTAAAACATGTACTCTTATTAACGAGTTGCTCGCCTAAAGTCACAATCACCTCACTAGGTATACTCCATCATCTCTATCTTTACTCGTATCAACATGAATAATATCATAAGCAAAAAGAAAACACCAAGGCACATCCTCTTGCAAATGTCTAATAAAAAATTATAAGAGGTAAAATGTTACAATGGATGAAATCAGCGCTTGAGGTGGCGAACGTCGGCAAACTAGGTTGAACGGTCTTCACAATGGCGTAGCTACTCTAACCTATAAAACCAAACTCCTTACCAATCTATTCAATTTTATATTAAGAAAATCAACAAAAAAATTGAAATTCATAGTGGATTTTCTCAAAAACTGAGTCCTTTCACCGGCGACAGAGGCGGTGATCGTCAGCAACCTCTCGTGGAAGACCGGAAGGCTTGGCAGCTGTGATCTACAGTGGGGCGACGCTAGGGCGACGAAGCCGAGCGGGGACTTCAAACAAAACAGCGGAAGGAAATGGTAAGCCAAACGAGCTCAGGTCAGAAATAAGGCTTTCGCCGCTAGACTTTACGACGTATAAAATGCCGAAAGATTTTTGGACGTCTTTTACGTCTGTAATATTACGTTGTGTTTAAAATGACCGGCGTCTAATAGGCCAGATTTTTCTGGCATAAAATACGCCGCTTTAGATTATATGCTTACATATTCCGATGTATAAACTGGCGTAAAGCGCTTTGAAAAAATACTGACGACTATTCTGCTGGCAAATATGCCGTACTAATTCCGTCACAAACGACGCCGGTAAAAACGCCTTAATTACCGACGTATATATATCCGCCAGAAGCTCCGACGATAATCACGCATTTTCCCGTAGTGTTCCCATGCATAGTAACTCTGGAACTATAGGTATAGAAGACTACTTCTGCTTAACAAGCTAGTAAAATATATGAACATTGAGAGGTTAAAAGTTGGGGCAAATTGGGTTTGAGCA